CCCCAAAACCCCAAAACCCCAAAACCCCGTTATCCTAAGTATTAATTGATAAGTATCGTGAAGTATGGAAAAATTCTTAATGAAGGGAAAGACCCATTCTCGGCCCATGTGAGCAACCTAATTAATCCCCTAGGCGAAGAGCACTTAAGAAGTTACTTAAGTCTAAAGGCTACAAGAGATCTAGTGGCAGTTTTCCCCATCAAGCTCTTAATCTGATGAAAACATTGTCTAAAGTTAATGATGCAGATAAGAAAAATGTAAACGAACTAAGCCCACCAAAAGAGAGGCATGTGAAGTCTATTGAAAACAGGCCTCTCAGTCCTTTCTCCCAAATAAAGCATGATGTTGAACAATTTAGAGTGAGTCTGACTTCCCTCTTAATCATTCAAGGTTTATAAACTTCATTCTATTTTTCATATGCCATTAGGTTTACAAGCATACCAAGTGGAGTTTCTATTGGTCTTAAACTCTGTCCGTTTTTATGAACAATTTATTGTAATACGGTAAAAAGTCTGAACCTGCTGTTACCGAATAATGTGTCCTGATTCCCAGATCATATTCTGCTTTTATTATAAAATTCAGGAAATCTCATTAAAGCCTAACTTATTTGTTATAGTCAACCTTTAGCTGAAAGGTAGATGCATTTCTAAGGTAAGCCTAGGTCTGTAAGCCTTAAAAGTTTTCCTTTAATTTGGTTATCCAAAAAGTATACTGGTATAGTAAAACCAAATAAACCAGAGAAATTGAACTTCAGCGAGATCTCTCAAAAACCACTCTTTATAGTCAATAAGGTATCTCCTGCCTCGAGGCCAAAGACTAAGATGAAATCTCCTGTACTGAATAACCTTATGAATCATCTTAAGACTAAAGTAGCAAAGATAGCTAAATTTGGTAGCGAGCCATTTTTATTTATAGAGCACTCTGTTTTCGTCCCCCATTCGATAGATAACTCAGAAGAGCAGATTATCGAAGGAAATGATGTTGACTTAACTAAACTTAATGCTAAATACATATCAGCTAAAGGTAAGCTCCCCTCAAGGTGAGGGATTGATGAACACTTTAGGTTTTCCCCATATTATTAAGAAAAAATAGGAGAACAAATAATCATCTTAAACCATCTTTTGACAAAGATAGAAGTTCACTTGATCTGTAAGGCAAACTTTTTCTCAAAGTTTTAGACAGCAAAAACTTCTTTCAATGACAGCTTTGATGAAGAAGAAGTCTCAAATCCAAGAGACGATAGGTCCTAAGTCTGAAGTTAAAGAGAAAATAGTTATAAGATCTCCACAGTTTGAGGACCGAGATTCTTATTTTGCTCCAAGAATAACACCTTCTTCGAATATCTCAGCTGTGAAGAATTTGAAAGTACAGAGTAGCAGCAAATTTGGGTCTATCTATTCTTCAGAGGTTCCTATGAGCAAGGGTAGCTGAATATCTCCAAATCCAAGATCCTTTATGTCTTTCGAGGTACGTCAGCTGATATAATTATTATAGCCTATCAGTGTCAACTTTACAAGCCCGAGAGGTAATTTATCCAAAATTAAGGAAGATTTTTCAACACCAACGGACTATTATGGCAGTATTGGCCGACCTCAGAAGTTTCTGAGCCCGAATAATATCAGAGTAAAGCTCTACTTGGACCAGAAGAACGAAACAAGAGAGACTAAGCTCCAAAGCTTATTTAAAATTGGGTCTAAAAAAGCTCGTAACTTCAGAACTAGAAAGAGAGTATGCTTCTAAACCTGCAGCTTGAACAATCTCGTACATAAAATTTTGATCCAAATCCTCATTTTATCTTTTCTCGCTTAGGTGGTTTCACCCTTCTCGACTCCTGATGTATCTGGTTTAGCTTTTGAGGAGACCAGAGGCACCAGTTTCGTATTGACTTATAAATTCGTCAAACTCAATTGGAAAGGTAATTGAAGGGGTTTTGGGGTTTTGGGGTTTTGGGG